TTTCTATCTATAACAGCGTTGATGTCTGACGTATGTGAGCGCCACCATGTCGAATAATAAAAAATAAAATAAAATGCAATTCAAAGACTTGAGCCTGCTAGTTGTCATCGATAACAGATCAGGTTTGAATAACCTAAACATGTTTTACGGTTGGGACGGACTGGGCCGCCGAAAGTGTATGTGACTCAAGCTGCTGAACTAGCTAGCTGTTGATCATTTTGAAAGTGACAACTTTAAAGCAACGTAAAGCCACCAAGCTATGTTCTAATACAGGCATTTGTTTGATTACGCAGCTAAGGCTTGTTTATTTTTCTGTAATGCTAGCAAGAAGTCCAGTTTCCAATCTGCCTGGCTGCCCACAGCACGCAACCAGCTAGCAATGGGCAGCTAGCTAGCTAGATATTTCTGGTATAGATGAGACATTATTCAAGTCGAAGTTGGATATTAGTAGTGCTGTAGCAAAGGATCTATTGTCCAACCATTTGTGAATACGTTTAAACCCCCAAATATAGCATCTTAATTTCAAGCAAAAACGCACGGAAGTGAATGGGCTTTCCAACATTCTGAAGCTTTCTTTACCCTTTCGTGGTTGTTGTTAAGGTTAACCCTTGGAATACAATCTGTCCCCCAAGGAAATCTAATTAACATAATACAAAAATCCCCATCAAAATCCGTCTGTTTAAGCTAGTTTTGTTGCATGGGCTGGGTCTCAATCCACCTGGATTTAAGGCGGAGTTGCTCATTGGTTGTTAGAAATAACAACATTTTCAATGACAACATGTGTATTAGAATTAGAACAAAGTAAAAAAAAAAAAAACACTTAGCTGTTAGCTAGGCAAGTTGTACTTCGAGGCTTAAAATCAATGCAAAGAAGATTTGTGGTTGGATTTGCAGTGTGAATTTACTTTGAAAATTTTGACATGAGCTAGCAACTTTTGACAGCGATTTCGTCTGAAAAAAAAGTAGTGCCCCAATATTTGGACAATCGTTGTGATTGGAGGATAGCGGTGAGGGTTATCGAATTAGGATCAAGTCCCATGTTCTCCTCGAGCTCATTAATGATAGAATGTTCATATTTGAAGATGGCAGAAAAGCCAGTCTCTTTGGCAATGACAAGGAGTGGAATGTTAGCTAAAGAGACTGGTACCCAGGTTGGTCTGCTGTAACCAAGAAGCTTGATCTTGACATCTAGCCACTTAAGTACCTAGCAAGTTAGCAAACCAAATGCAAAGCTGGAGCCCTGAGCTGGATATAATTTATATATCTTAGAGTTATAGGCAGTGGCGTAGCACACACCCCCGCAGCCCCCGGGTGCCCCCAAAAAATACATTTTTAAACAGTTCTGAAAATCAGTCAGTATTTTGAAATACCCCAATGTACGTTATATCGCCCAAGCCTACTGCCGATAAAAGTGGATGACGTATTCAGCTGGAAACAATACAAATTGGATCAATATTTTGCAAGGTTCTTCGCTTTTTTTGTGTGGCAATGTTCCTCACCTATCTCAAGTTTTTCAGCTGATTATTACCTTGCAATACCAGGATACAATCCTAAAATGTCTTAAGCCAAAAAAGGACTGATATCATTAAGTATGCATTGGGCAAGTTACCTTTAGTGCAAAATAACATGGTTAAGACTATTTCAGTCAAAAAATGCAGGCAGCTCCTAATGAAATAAAAAGGGGGAATAAGAACATAACATACAAATCAGCCAAAACAAAAATCACCAGGTTGCCAGGTTCTGAAGGTTGAGAAAAGATAAGTTGAAGAGGTGTCTGAGCTGCAAGAGCTGAATGTTGTGCAAAAGCCGGGTATATCCTGTTGTCCTGGATGGAAGATAGGGTGGCAAGGATTAAAAAGATGGGTCACACACACACACACGTCGCAACACCAGTGCCCAAATCAAAATATTCCTTATCCCCTTGTGTAGAGCCACAATTATTTGATAGACATAAGCAAGATGGTAATGGAGCCATATTGCTTACCCTGACCCTTTCAGATCTAAGTTAGGGTTGACCTAAAATAGACATTTTCACTGGCATGTCAGACTGATGCAGTGCATTCGGAAAGTATTCAGACCCCTTGACTTTTTCCACAGTTACGTTACAGCTTTATTCTAAAATGGATTAAATACATTTTTTTCCTCATCAATCTACACACAATACGAAATTGAGCTCAGGTGCATCCTGCTTCCACTGATCATCCTTGAGATGTTTCTACAGCTTAATTGGAGTCCACCTGTGGTAAATTCAATTGATTGGACATGATTTGGAAAGGCACACACCTGTCTATATAAAGGTCCCACAGCTGACAGTGCATGTCAGAGCAAAAACCAAGCCATGAGGTCGAAGGAATTGTCCGTAGAGCTCCGAGACAGGATTGTGTCGAGGCACAGATCTGGGGAAGGGTAGCAAAACATGTTGGCAGCATTGAATGTCCAAGAACACAGTGGCCTCCATCATTCCTAAATGGAAGAAGTTTGGAACCACCAAGACACTTCCTAAAGCTGGCCGCCCAGCCAAACTGAGCAATCGGGGAAGAAGGGCCTTGGTCAGGGAGGTGACCAAGAACCCTATGGTCACTCTGACAGAGCTCCAGAGTTCCTCTGTGGAGATGGGAGAACCTTCCAGAAGGTCAACCATCTCTGCAGCACTCCACCAATCAGGCCTTTATGGTTGAGTGGCCAGATGGAAGCCACTCCTCATTAAAAATGCACGACAGCCCGTTTGGAGTTTGCCAAAAGGCACCTAAAGGACTCTCAGACCATGAGAAACAAGATTCTGTGGTCTGATGAAACCAAGATTGAACTCTTTGGCCTGAATGCCAAGCATGTTGGTGGCAGCATCATCTTGTGAGGTTGTTTTTTAGCGGCAGGGAGACTAGTCAGGATTGAGGGAAAGTTGAACGTAGCAAAGTACAGAGAGATCCTTGATGAAAATCTGCTCCAGAGCACTAAAGACCTCAGACTGGGGCTAAGGTTCACCTTCCAACAGGACAATGACCCCTAAGCACACATCCAAGACAACGCAGGAGTGGCTTCGGGACAAGTCTGAATACTTGTGTAAAAGGTTCTGAATACTTGTGTAAATGTGATATATATAATATTTATTTGCCAAAAAATTATTCAACCGGTTTTTGCTTTGTCATTATGGGGTATTCTGTGTATATTATTATAATAATTTTTTAATCCATTTTAGAATAAGGCTGTAACATAACAAAATGGAAGAAAGTCAAGGGGTCTGAATACTTTCCGAATGCAGTGTGTATATATATACACACACAGCTGCGGTAAAAATTAAGAGACCACTGCAAAATTATCAGTTTCTCTGGTTTTACTATTTATAGGTATGTGTTTGGGTAAAAATTACATTTTTGTTTTATTCTATAATCTACTGACAACATTTCTCCCAAATTCCAAATAAATATTGTCATTTAGAGCATTTATTTGCAGAAAATGACAACTGGTCAAAATAACAAAAAAGATGCAGTGTTGTCAGACCTCGAATAATGCAGAAAATAAGTTCATGTTCATTTTTAAACACAGTACTAATATTTTAACATAGGAAGAGTTCAGAAATCAATATTTGGTGGAATAACCCTGATTTTCAATCACAGCTTTCATGCGTCTTGGCATGCTCTCCACCAGTCTTTCACATTGATGTTGGGTGACTTTATGCCACTCCTGGCACAAAAATTCAAGCAGCTCGGCTTTGTTTGATGGCTTGTGACCATCCATCTTCCTCTTGATCACATTCCAGAAGTTTTCAATGGGGTTCAGGTCTGGAGATTGGGCTGGCCATGACAGGGTCTTGATCTGGTGGTCCTCCATCCACACCTTGATTGACCTGGCTGTGTGGCATGGCGCATTGTCCTGCTGGAAAAACCAATCCTCAGAGTTGGGGAACAATGTCAGAGCAAAAGGAAGCAAGTTTTCTTCCAGGACAACCTTGTACGTGGCTTGATTCATGCGTCCTTCACAAAGACAAATCTGCCCGATTCCAGCCTTGCTGAAGCACCCCCAGATCATCACCGATCCTCCACCAAATTTCACAGTGGGTGCGAGACACTGTGGCTTGTAGGCCTCTCCATGTCTCCGTCTAACCATCAGATTACCAGGTGTTGGGCAAAGCTGAAAATTGGACTCATCAGAGAAGATGACCTTACTCCACTCCTCTACGGTCCAATCCTTATGATCTTTTGCAAACCTCAGCCTGGCTCTTCTTTGCTTCTCATTGATGAAGGGCTTTTTTCTAGCTTTGCACGACTTCAGCCCTGCCCCTAGGAGCCTGTTTCGAACCGTCCCCGCTGTGCACGTCACCCCAGCTGCCGTTTGCCATTCTTTTTGTAGGTCACTTGATGTCATCCTATGGTTGTTGAGTGACATTCGAATGAGTTGGCGGTCATCCCGGTCAGAAGAGAGTCGTTTTCACCCTCTGCCTGTCTGTAGCTTTGTTGTCCCCAATGTCTGCTGCTTGACCTTGTTCTTATGAACCAGGATGGAAGCAACCTGACGCTCACTGTATCCCTCTGCCAGTAAAGCCAGAATTGAACCTTTCTTTTCCTCACTCAAAACTTTCCTTTTCAACTCTTTTGGCATGGTCAATAGTTATTTTTTGATTAATATTACTTTTGAGGTACTATTAGCACTGTTTTTGCCATCCAGCTGGTCCTATTGCAAGAGGATAGTGATAACCACAGCAGTGGTTTTTATACTTTTCCTCATTAAATAAGATTTGGTTCAGGTGATCACCTAATCAGTACCTAATTCAGTAGAATGAGGTGTGCCTGTGTTGGAATTCAAAAAGACTGGAATGGAATGGCTGTCATACATGTAGAGATGCTGATTTAAGAAACATTTGCAGTGGTCTCTTAATTTTTTCCACAGCTGTGTGTGTGTGTGTGTGTGTGTGTGTGTGTGTGTGTTATATATATATATATATATATAAATAAAAGACTGCCTATATTGTATGTCAGAGTGAATGACTCACCAGTTGAGGGGTTCTAGGGCTCCCCCTGTAGGCGGCCTGTCTCCTTCAGCTCCTCCTCGCAATCGGGGTTGGCGGCGTGGAACTCTGCTACATACAGGCTCTTGTCAATGCTGCCAGGGATAGGCTTGATGTCGGTGACCAGCTGGTCCTCGATAGACTTCAGATTGAAGCGGTCCTCAGAGGTGATCAGGTTGATGGCCAAGCCCAGGTGTCCAAACCTCCCTGAGACAATACCACAGAGGGATGGAATGAACATGTGGCCAGGTTCTCAAAACAAAGCATTCAGATATTACAAGAATATAAAAAGCATTGACATTATACCACACAAAACAGTTTTCATACCTGATCTTCCGATGCGATGCAGGTATGTCTCGGCGTTCTTGGGGAAGTCGAAGTTGATGACGACATTGACAGCCTGGATGTCAATACCTCTGGTGAACAGATCTGTTTCAAACAGTAAACCATAAAACAGTTTAATCAACTGTACTACATACCCAAGTAAAATCTGATATAACCAAACAAAAAATACAGGAAAAAAATTCATATGGACACACAGGGCTCTAAATTAAAGGTGCAATATGCAGAAATGGCTCCGCCATTTCTTTGTTACAAAAATGCTAAATAGTTTGCCTATATAAAGGTGGTACCGGGTCAATGTGCAGGGGTACAGGTTAGTCAAGGTAATTTGTACATGTAGGTAGCCCGGGTGGCCATTTGATTAATTGTTCAGTCTTATGGCTTGGGGTTAAGAAGCTGTTAAGGAGACTTTTGGACCTAGACTTGGCGCCCCGGTACCGCTTGCCATGCGGTAGCAGAGAGAAGAGTCTATGACTTGGGTGACTGGAGTCTGCGAATTTTTTGAGCCTTCGTCTGACACCGCCTTGTGTGTGTGTGTATATATATCTCCTGGATGGCAGGAAGCTTGGCCCCAGTGATGTACTGGGCCGTATGCACTACCCTCTGTAGCACCTTACTGTTGAAATCATGGAAATATAATGATTATTCTAATTCTATAGGGCGGCAGGTAGCATAGCGGTTAAGAGCGTTGGGCCAGTAACCGAAAGGTTACTGGTTCGAATCCCCGACCCGACTAGGTGAAAAATCTGTCCATGTGCCCTTGAACAAGGCACTTAACCCTAATTGCTCCTGTAAATTGCTCTGGATAAGAGCTTCTGCTAAAATGACTAAAATGTAAAATAGTTAGAATATAATAGTGGGAACTTTGAACACTATTGTGTGACATTACAACAAATGAAAATGCCAGGTGGAGTTATTGCTTTGCGTATTCCTCTTTGATTTAGCAGGTACTGTTGCACAAACATACTGATTTAGGTCTACACCATCACTGGTATTATCAGGCTGTATTGCTAGTTACGTTTGCTCTGCCAGCTAACTAGCGATTAGCATAAGCGGCTAACATGATTTAGGCCCAACTTGCTAAGAAAAGACAAACTAGCCATTTGCCCATGTAAGAAACAAACTAAGTGTAATTATGGAACGGTAGTGGATTTATATTAAGAAGCAAAGTGAAAACAGCATCGTTGTCATCAACATTGTTGCATGTGCTGCATTGACCATGCAGACTGAACGCAAGTGTCTCATGGTCGAGAAACAACAAATGCGCTTGAGTGACGGGCGGGGCTAGGTCTGTGTGGAAAGCGGCATGGAGAGAGAGAGGACTCAAATAGCGGAGTAAACTATAAAATTGGACGTTACACACAGCGCATCATTTAACAAACCAAACATTCAAATACCGTTATAGAAGGTAACGTAAAAACCCAAACCGGTCCGTTCATCAATACCGGTATATCGTAAAATACTGTATACCGCCCAGCCCTAAGTTCACCTAATTTCAGTTTGTGACAAAACAAGCAATGCAGTGTAGAGAATCATTGTACCATCTAAACAGCTGTGAAATATATTTTCAATAACCCAAAATATTGTATTTTCAGTTGGTGTACAAAACCGAAAGTAAAAACAAAACTTAACGGGAAGCATATAAATAGCGCACATAGACCAGATCGACCGCTTCTTAGATTTGCTTTCAATGACATTTCAATAAAAGTCACATTTCTGAATTTGGTCGGGTCGCCCATTGGTAGCACACCCCCCCCAATGCTCACTCTGCTCCCCAAATTGAATAAACTGCTACTATTGTTACACACAAATATGGTATAAGAATAACAATTTAAATGTAGCCTTTTACTCCTCCCTGGTTCCCCCTCCATATTGAAATACAAATTCAAATAAAGGAGAAATAAACCAGCTTACCGCTGTGCAATTTCACATGCATCCCTATCAATGAAGACTAGGGTGGGCCAATATCTATTTTAGATTCTCAATTTGAAATTAAAAATGAAGTTGGTTCTGGAAGTATTCTAAGGGTGATTATTAGGTTGCCTAAACATGATTAGTGCTTCCTCTTCAAATCAGTTTTCTAACCTAAATAAAAAGGATAGGTTGCTGCTACTGGTCAGAGTCTGAGGCAGGCTGCCTCTGACTGGGGAGAGAAACAGGGTTGCTTAAGCCTACATTTACATTTTTAGTCATTTAGCAGACGCTCTTATTCAGAGCGACTTACAGGAGCAATTAGGGTTAAGTGCCTTGCTCAAGGGCACATCAACAGCCTACTGCCTGAGGTTCAGCGCAACAGCCCATGTCTAATTCTGTAATAATTCTGTATACTAGAAACCAGATATGTTAAGGTTTATATGACCGTTACCAATTATCACTCATTTGAGAAAGAGCACTCGGATGCGAGATGCACATCTTGTCACATCGCAATAGAAACTTTCTCCATTTGAAAAATGTACATTTTCAATATAATTCTTGCTTATGAATTGACCATGTTAAATTTGACTGCACCATTTTATTTGTTCCAAGTTAGCCCACATATTTTAGTGTTTGTTAAGAAGAGAGGAGAGAGAGTGAAAGAGGAGATGGTGTGCATTTCTCTGTTCACCTTACCAGCCTTGCTCAACTTATTTCCCCTTCACAAACCTGAGGACCGGACAAAACCAAAAGCATAATTTGCGGAGAGGGGGATTCAATCATAAAATAAGGTAGCACTATGTGGTGTAGGTCTAAAGCTTTATGTTTATAAAGTAATTTCCAATCACTCAAATTCATCATGGTATATTATTGACCCGTCTCTAATATTAACGCGCCTGGGTACAACCATGATGCTAACGAATATGCGTCACTTTTTTCTCTAGGGCACTGACAACGGTGGAGCGAAGCCTAATCATTGCAACAATTATTATCTGGGTGATTTTTTTTCTGCCCGCACTGGTGCTCCCAAATTAATATACCAGGTCGCACAGCTAAATATTTAGGAGCATATGCGACCAAAATGGTTGCACTTTAGAGCCCTGTGGACACGTACCGGTGCAGACAAGATTTCTGCAGAGTCCATTTCTGAAGTCGTGGAACACACGGTTTCTGTACTCCTGTGAGGATTAAAAGAACACTGCATGAGAGCACTGAACACAACCTCAGAATTGCATCTTTTCTCATGGCTCCCACACATTGACTAGCACAATCTCATATATTCCCCATATATTTCTGTCCAAAAGGTTGTCTCCTCTTTGGTCAGGTTTTTTTGTTGTAGGACAATAAATATGAATCTGTTCATCATTAAATCTGGAATGGTTTGTAGACCATAATAATAAAATCAGGAGAAGGAACCGGTTCAGGGAACAAAACATAAAATTATTAGAGTAACAGAATCAGAACCGTTAACGAAAGAGATCTAAACAGTTCCCGGAACAGAACTGTTATTTTAAAAGCATGGGAACCGGTTAATAACGTTTTTTACATTCCGGGCATTTTTTCCCCAGTCCCACAAAAAACTAAGCCCTCACTCTGTCACTCAAACGTATTCCAGTGTCTGCCTACCAGAAAATCTTTGCCAGTGTGTGTGTGTAGGCAACCTGCCTCTCCACCTCAGAAGCATAGTCTAGTAGCCTACTGACGTTACAAGCGTGATTCAGAAGTTAGGAAGAGAGATTTTTAATTAGAGAAGAATGGATTAACCTTTTCAATGCTAGTTAAGGATACTGTAGTGATCACGTTTCACATTGGATTTTTAACTACAATAAGGTAAGACGTTTTTATTTGAATTATATTGCCGCTCTGCACACACAAGCTTGTTACTTCAAAGGCATTCAAAGTTCCTTCATAGAAGCCGCTCCCCTGTAGGTATAATTCTGTGGGCCTAAGTCAGATGCATGTCATAACAAGATGCCCACCGAGCAAAGCCTCCTCCACACTCTCTCTCCCCACCTGGCAAATTTCAGTCGCATCCTTCACTCATCTGTCCAATGCATGTAAATAGCTTGCCCGCTCCATAGCAAGCTGCTCCATCTCCACTGATTGGTGAAGTAATTGAATGAATAAAAATAAAAAAAGATTTCAGAGGTTTAAAAAGGAACGATATAAGCTGTTACTTTTTTGGGGTTTAAACAGTTTCAGAACTTTATTTTGCTGGTCGGAACAGTGAAACGAAAAAAAAAAAAAATGGTTCTGTTCAGAACGAAACGATTGGAAAATAATTTTGGTTCCAACCCCTGATAATGTTTCCCCTCCTTTCAAGTGGCTGCAGATTTTCCTCTTGTAGGACAATAAGAGTGACTCTAAATCGCTGACCTGCATCATCTTGGCGTGGATGTAGAAGCAGGAGTAGCCCAGCTGGGTGATCTTCTTGGCCAGCAGCTCAACTCTCTGGGTGGAGTTACAGAAGATGATGGACTGATTGATCTGCAACTGAGAAAGGAAATGTTAAATCTAACAAACAATAATAATAATAAGATGTACTTTATATAGCGCTTTTCATAATAATGAGCATCTCAAAGCTTTAAAAACAAATACAGGGTTCTGGCAGGTCTTAGGCAATGGTTTAACATGAATGTAAACATTTCTGATAGGGTTTAAAAGATCCGACTTTTCCCGGACATTGCCAAAGAGACTGGCCTTTCGGTAATCTCAACGTTCCAATATGCGCTGGATTTATGGTTGTTGGAATTAAGAGTAATATTTTCCCTGACAAAATGTTGAGCCTCAAAAATAGAATGTCAAAAACAAACATTTAGCTGTTAGCTAAGCAAGTTTTTGTATTTTGAGGCTTAAAATCAAAACTAAGACGTTTTGTGGTTGGAATTGCAGTTTGTATTTAGTCATGAGCTAGTAACTTGACTGGTTTCGTCTGGGCAATCCAAAAACTGTTGCTTAGCAACCAGATACCAACATGTTCTGTGCAGAAAAAAAAGTGATAGTTCCAATATTTACATAATCGTTGTGATTGGAGGATGGATGTGAGAGTGATCCAATCAGGATGAAACCCTCTGTTCTCCCCAAGCTCATTAATGATAGAATATTCATATTTGAAGATGGCAGGAAGGCCAGTCTCTTTGGCACATGACATGGAGTACTGAGAGTGGATTAGCTAAAGAGACTGGTTCCCAGGCTAGTAGAGAACAGGCTACTCTGGCAAATGGTGCTTGTTTATTAAAGTTAGATCAAATGTCTGCAAGATCACAAAATAGTATTCCACATAACAGCAACAAATATAATAGCATAGTATAACGTTACGGTAAGACAAAAACACCACTGCATTTCTCTCAGCGCATGACTAAGCAAAATACATAGGTAGGCTACAGTTTGTTTACACCGTCTGCTATACAATTCACTCACTGTACATAATTCAAAACACTGTAGACTACTTTGAAACAACACTGTATAACTCAATATCTAAATCAGGGTTCTCCAACCTTTTCTAGCATGAGAGCTACTTTTAAAAAAATAAAACATGTCGCGAGCTACTCTTTATTTCTAGCCATTAAATATGCACATTCTTCTCTTCTCCCCTGCAATGCTTCCCCACAAGTCTTCCCCAGGTCCTTAGCGTACAAGAGAAAGTAGTGCACTGTTTTCTGCCAATATACCTGGTCAAATAATGGTAAGTAAACAACTAAAAGGGAGGGCCCTATAAAATCTTATGTTTTATATTCTCCCAAATTATATTCTGTTCTATTTTTCCTGGTATTAAATTGTTATTTTGAGAGTCAAAAATAGAGAAACAACTAAATTGGATGTTCTGAGTCCATGCCAATGCTGAAATCACATTAGAAGACAAATGTTTTTAGGTCTGGAAGAAAACTAAACATTTGGATTTAAGTGAAATTCCCCTTTAATTGCACATCTGGACCTTAATTTGCACATCTAGTGAGTGAGGAATGTGGCATCTAATGTACCGGTCTAGCGATGGTTCTGTACTGCTGCTGCTCATTTCATGGCAAAGTTGGCAAATAACAAATAATAGATACAAATCATATACTTACTCATGATATACTTCTGCCAGGTAAGCCTACTCTGCAGTTAACATTTAATTGAGAAGGTTTTGGGGGAAGTATTTCTGTCAACCCACAAGACAATTATCACATCAACTGGCTACACACGGCGTGATAGACAAATGCGCGCACCACAGACAGACCGGGGCAATACTGCTGGAAATTAATTGGCCGATATAGTGTTAGCTTAAAAAGCCAAACCTAACCAGAGGTGGGATGTCAATGTTGATTTAATTATATAGTAGCTGGGAGCTTGCGGTGAAAGATACTTGTGAGATTTGGTCATGCATGTACTTTCAGAATTGTTTGGCGAGCTACTCATAGATGGGCTGCGAGTTACTGGTAGCTGGTGATCGACCTGTTGGAGACCCCTGATCTAAATGTATACCCACATGAAACGGTTTGAGATCAAATGGTTCATACTGCAAATGTTGGCACTGGCAATATATTTAAGTAGGGATTTACCATCACCAAATTGACAGGCTGAAATCAACACCAACAAGAAATTCTGACTTCCTATGATCAAACATGACAAATAGACCTAGGCTGATTCGGAACTTAACATACTGATATATACCATTTGGACATTATATAGGCCATCTGGACATGGTTCACTCACTTTTGGGTTTGGAACTTCCTATGATCATGTGAGACAAGTGGACATTTTGCCCATTTGGAGTATTATATGCCTGAAATAGACATAACATTGGCCTTATGGACAAAAATCACATAAAAAAAGTAATCTGCCGAACGCATTACCGGGGGCAAACTACCCGCCCTCCAGGACACCTACAGCACCCGATGTCACAGGAAGGCCAAAAAGATCAACGACATCAACCACCCGAGCCACTGCCTGTTCACCTTGCTATCATCCAGAAGGCGATGTCAGTACAGGTGCATCAAAGCTGTGACCGAGAGAATGAAAAACAGCTTCTATCTCAAGGCCATCAGACTGTTAAATAGCCATCACTAGCACATTAGAGGCTGCTGCTGCCTATTGAAATCACTGGCCACGAAGAAATGGAACACTAGTCACTTTAATAATGTTTACATACCTTGCATTACTCATCTCATATGTATATACTGTATTCTATAATATTCTACTGCATCTTAGTCCATGCCGCTCTGTCATTGCTTGTCCATATATGTATATATTCTTAAATTCCATTCCTTACTAGATTTGTGTGTATAGGGTATATGTTGTGAAATTGTTAAATATTACTGCGCTGTCGGAGCTAGAAGCACAAGCATTTCGCTACACCCGCAATAACATCTGCTAAACACGTGTATGTGACAAATAAAACATCAACAGTTCAGAGGAGATTGTGTGAATCAGCCCTTCATGGTCAAATTGCTGCAAAGAAACCACTACTAAAGGACACCAATAAGAAGAAGAGACTTGCTTGGTCCAAGAAACATGAGCAATGGAAATTAGACCGGTGGAAATCTGTCCTTTGGTCTGGAGTCCAAATTGGAGATTTTTGGTTCCAACCGCAGTGTCTTTGAGGGACGCAGAGTAGGTGAACGGATGATATCCGCATGTGTGGTTCCCACCGTGAAGCATGGAGGAGGTGGTGTGATGATGTGGAAGTGCTTTGCTGGTGACACTGACAGTGATTTATTTAGAATTCAAGGCACACTTAACCAGCATGGCTACCACAGCATTCTGCAGCGATACGCCAGTCCCACTAAGCGCAAACCAGATGGGATATAATTTTCTTTTTCAACAGGACAATTTTCTGACCCAACACACCTCCAGGCAAGAAGGAGAGTGATGGAGTGGCTGCATCAGATGACCTGGCCTCCACAATCACCCAACCTCAACCCAATTGAGATGATTTGGACCGCAAAGTAAAGGAAAAGCAGCCAACAAGTGCTCAGCACGTGGGAACTCCTTCAAGACTGTTGATAAAGCATTCCAGGTGAAGCTGGTTGAGAGAATGCCAAGAGTGTGCAAAGCTGTCATCAAGGCAAAGGGTGGCTATTTGAAGAATCTAAAATATATTTTGATTTGTTTAACACTTTTTTGCTTACTACATGATTCCATGTGTTATTTCATAGTTTATGTCTTCACTATTATTCTACAATGTACAAAATAGTAAAGGTGTCCAAACTTTTGACTGGTACGGTATATTCCCAAATGCTCTGTGTGACCACCCGCCAACATAGCTGGTGAAATAGACATTCTTACCCGCCAATTAGAGAAAATATACCCGCATTTGGCAGGTGTTAATTTCCAACCCTGTTCAGGACCTTTAGTCCGGGGAAAAAAAGGTCAGGGAAAAGTCAGATCTGCAGCCACAGCCTTAAAAGACTGTAGTAATGAGTTAGACAAATGGTAATAAAGGCTGCCTGTAAAGGCTTTATGGTACACTAATCTGTGCCCACATACCAGACTACATGTACATTCACACGTAGTGTGTGTTTGATAGTGCCAAGGCTTACCCTGGAGAACAGTGTGTTGAGACAGTGGACTTTTTGTCTCTCAGTGACGTAGGCGTAGTACTGGGTGATGCCCTTCAGAGTCAGCTCCTCCATCAGGTTGATTTCATAGGGCTTCTGCAGGTGCTTGGCCTTGTGAAGGAGAGAGGGAGGACAGGGAGTGGGGGAGGAAAGAAAGGGGGACAGAGAAAAAAGGGAGAGGAGAGGGTTATGGAAGTGCCCGAGTAAATCAATGCTAGGATAACACGTGTCTGCGTGGGCGCCTGCATACACACGGCTAGACCCTTGTAGCAACTTAAGACAACAGACTTTTCTGCTGGCAACCAAGAAGTGAAAACCCTGCAGAGGACAGTAAAACAACAAATAGCCCAAGCTAAGGACAACTACAAAAAGAAACCATGTTCCACACAGGGAATCTCAGGCAGGCAGGGCCTTGCAAACCCCAACCGGGCAAGCCAAGAAGAAAACCCAAGGGAAAAACAAAGGACAAGGAACAGTTTGTCAATGAACAACACTTTGATAATGACGACTTCTCCACTGTAACAGAAAGCCTGAGGGAACAACTGGAGCTCCAGGCCTTGGATGGAGCAAACCATTGAGGAGGTGAGACGGGTCTTCAAGAGAGTCAAATCCAACAAAGCGCAAGGACCAGACAAAATCAAGAGACAGCTAATGAAGGAATGCTCAGATGAGCTGGCAGACATCTTCTGCGCTCTCTTTAAACCCCATAAGAGTCTAAGCTGGGAGAGGGGGTGGGGTTCTACTAAGCTATATATAATTATTTTAAGAAGGTTTGCATACAGGAAGAACATCAGTGGAGGATGCAGCCCTGGCGGTGTTGCATAGTGCATGACACCTGGAGAGGCCTCACTTATGTGTGCATCTTTTTCACGGATGCAGCCTCACCTATGTTACAACCTACAGATGGACACCAGCATTACCTTGTGGCTGCTGGACATCCTGCTGAACAGGTGGCAGTATGTCAAGTTCAACAACAACATCCCTTCATCTGTGTACACATATACATCAATGATCTAAGAGGCTCCGACAGCGACTGCTTGGCAGTGTAATATGCAGATGACACAGCGTTTGTCGACCTCTCAGATGACACGCTGCATTTCCAAACAGAAGTAAACAGGGTTCATGACTGGTGCAATAACTACCTCACACTCAAAACAAAATAACTTCTCATTGATTTCCGTAAGGCAGACCCAATGAGCCACCTCGTCCTGGGTGGTGACGAGGTAGAGTGGGGAGTTAAGTACCTGGGAACCATCATGGACAGCACACTCTTAATGCAAACACTCAGAACATCAATAAAAAATGCCAACAACGACAATACCTCCTGCGCAGACTCAGACAACTGAATGTCAACACCAGGATACTCTCCAACTACACCTGCCATTTATAGAGTGTGCCGACTTTGCTTCCTGGGCTGGTAGTGGCTAATACGGGTATGATCAGTCAGACTGAACATGGGGTCCAAGCTCTGCGGGCTGCAGTGCAAGGGGCTTCAGGGCCTCTATGATCAACGGGCAAGGCAAAGCACATCAGACGACGCCACACACAATCTTGCCCAATGTTTTGAGCTGCTGCCCTCTGAAAGGAGATCAAGGGTACCACTTTTCAGAAAGAATAAGAGCAAGGCAAGTTTCACTCCATCAGCTATCCGGATGCTGAACATGGACAGATGCAGGCCCAATACACGGTCGGACAGTAGGCCATACAGACCTTGAATATGTTAAAATGTAAATGTGTGACTTGTGTACTAACTTTCCAGTTTTCCGTACTGCATGTAATATATTGTGTCTGTATGCTGACGTCGCAAATTAATTTCCATGTAAATGGACAATGAAATGCAGTGCATTCGGAAGGTATTCAGACCCCACAACCTTGATTTTGATATGGTACAGCCTTATTCTGAAATGGAATAAATTATTTATCTTCTCTCAATCTACACACAACACCCCATAACGACAAAGGAAAAACTTTTTTTTTTTTTTTACTTTTGGAAATGTATAAAAAAATTAAACTGAAATATCACATTTACATAAGTATTCAGACCCTTTACTCAGTACTTTGTTGAAGCGCCTTTGGCAGCAATTACAGCCTCGAGTCTTCTTGGGTTTAACGCTACAAGCTTGGCACACCTGTATTTGGGGAGTTTCTCCCATTCTTCTCTGCAGATCCTCTCAAGTTCTGTCAAGTTGTATGGGGAGCATCGCTGCACAGCTATTTTCAGGTCTCTCCAGAGATGTTCGATCGGGTTCAAGTCCGGGCTCTGGCTGGGCCACTCAATCACATTCAGAGACTTGTCCCGAAGCCACTCCTGCATTGTCTTGGCTGTGTGCTTAGGGTCTTTGTCCTGTTGGAAGGTGAACCTTCGCCCCAGTCTGAGGTCCTGACCGCTCTGGAGCAGGTTTTCATCAAAGATCTCTGTACTTTGCTCTGTTCAGCTTTCACTCGATCCTGACTAGTCTCCCAGTCCCTGCCGCTGAAAAACACCCCCACAGCATGATGCTGCCACCACCATGCTTCACTGTAGGGATGATGCCAGGTTTCCTCCAGATGTGACACTTGGCATTCAGGCCAAAGAGTTCAATCTTGGTTTCATCAGACCAGAGAATCTTGTTTCTCATGGTCTGAGAGTCCTTTAGGTGCCTTTTGGAAAACTCCAAGCGGGCTGTCATGTACCTTTTACTGAGGAGTAGCTTCCATCTGGCCACTCTACCATAAAATGCCTGATTGGTGGAGTGCTGCAGAGATGGTTGTCCTTCTGGAAGGTTATCCCATCTCCACAGAGGAACTCTGGAGCTCTGTCAGAGTGACCATCGGGTTCTTAGTCAACTCCCTGACCAAGGTCCTTCTCCCCCCGATTGCTCAGTTCAGCCGGGCAGCCAGCTCTAGGAAGAGTTGGTGGTTACAAACTTCTTCCATTTAAAAATGATGTAGGCCACTGTGTTCTTGGGGACCTTCAATGCTGCAGACATTTTTTAGGACCCTTCCCCAGCTCTGTGCCTCGACAATCCTGTCTCAGCGCTCTATGGACAATTCCTTCGACCTCATGGCTTGGTTTTTGCTCTGACATGCACTGTCAACTGTGTAGACAGGTGTGTGCCTTTCCAAATCATGTCCATTCAATTGAATTTACCATAGGTGGACTCCAATCAAGTTGTAGAAACATCTCAAGGATGATCAATGGAAACAGGATGCACCTGAGGTCAATTTCAAGTCCCATAGCAAAGGGTCTAAATACTTATGTAAATAAGGTATCGTTTTTTTTTATTTGTAATACATTTGCAAAAAATTCTAAAAACCTGTTTTTGCTTTGTCATTATGGAGTATTGTGTGTAAATTGATGATATATATATATATATATATATATATATATATATATATATATATATATATTTAATCCATTTTAGAATAAGGCTGTACCATAACAAAATGTGGAATAAGTCAAGGGTTCTGAATACTTTCCGAATGCACTGTATATCGTCTCTTTATGGAAGAGCAAAACAGATTGGCCTGTTGGTGAGACTCAGGGCCATGTAGCACTACTCACCATGAACTTCTGCACGCTGATGGGGAAGGTGGCAGAGTACAGCAGGATCTGACGGCCCTTGGCCAGGTAGCTGATGATATCCTCGATGAGCACCACAAAGTCCTGAGACAGCAGCTTGTCTGCCTGAGAGGAACAGATTACATTATTATTAAGAGGAGCATTAGCAGCGTTCTAAAAAGTATGTTTTACTCTCGTGGATTTCTATGCATTTTCTACTACTGGTATGTAATTGACATTTGGCGCTGGTTGCAGGGGAACACATTACATATATCCCCTTTAACCTCTTTGGTAGGTTGATAAACCAGAACAGATTTGATAGGCCCTGATGAGTGGCTTGTAACAAAATAGCTCAAGGACTGATTCTCTGGAGTCATCTACAGTAGCTTAGTATATTGAGTGGTTGATTGACTCAGGTACCACGTATTCACACACTCACCTCATCCATCACCATCATCTGGACTCTATCCACTTTGGCCACGCCCTTCTTTATCAAGTCCAGGATCCTGCCGGGTGTGGCTATGACCACATGCACTGAGAGAGAGAATCAGAAACACCACCATTACAGATGTGCCTTTGTGTACAGCTTTGAGGTTTTGTGACTTGTTTGTAGTGTACAGTGGGGTCCAAAATTATTGACATCCTTGATAAAGATTAGCAAAAATGATTGTATAAAATTATTCAAATACAGTGCTATTTTGTATGCTCAAAACGAATTGGGAAATTATACAATTGCTCAGAGAAAGAGATTGTTTAACAAGTAATAGTAATTAACAAGTAATTTTAGTCTCTCAAAAAGGTAGGTGTCAAAATTATTGACCCCCTGTTTTCAATACCTAACCTTGCAAGGATAACGGCACTGAGCCTTTTTGTAAAATGTTTTACAAGTTCAAGAACACATTGGGAGCAATCTTAGACCATTCCTCCATACAGAATCCTTCCAGATCCTTGATATCCTTTGTCTGTGCTTATGGACTGCCCTCTTAAATTCAAACCACAGATTGGTTTCAAGTCCAGAGACTGAGATGGCCATTGCAAAATGTTGATTTTGTGGCCAAATGACAATTTCTTTGTGAATTTTTATGTGTGCTTGGGGTTAGTGTCTTGCTGGAAGAGCCACTTACATTCAAGTGTCAGCCTCCTGGCAGAGGCAACCAGGTTTTTGCTAGTGAAAGAAAAATAGCCCCATAACAAAGATCCACCACCATATTTTACAGTATGTATGGGATTCTTCTCTGCGCATGCACTCATTTCAACACATGCAGAGATCATCCGTTCACCTACTCTGCGTCTCACAAAGACACGGCGGTTGGAACTAAAAATCTCCAATTTGGACTCATCAGACCAAAGGACAGATTTCCACCGGTCTAATGTCCATTGCTCGTGTTTCTTGGCCCAAGCAAGTCTCTTCTTATTATTGGTGTCCTTTAGTAGTGGTTTCTTTGCAGCAATTCGACCATGAAGGCCTGACTCACGCAGTCTCCTCTGAACAGTTGATGTTGAGATGTGTCTGTCACTTGAACTCTGAAGCATTTATTTGGGCTGCAATCTGAGGTGCAGTTAACTCTAATGAACGTATCCTCTGCAGCAGAGGTAACGCTGGGTCTTCCTTTCCTGTGGTGGTCCTCATGAGAGCCAGTTTCATCATAGCGCTTGCTGGTTATTGCGACTGCACTTGAAGAAACTTTCAAAGTTCTTGAAATGTTCCGTGTTGACGGACCTTCACGTCTTAAAGTAATGATGGACTGTCGTTTCGCTTTGCTTATTTGAGCTGTTCTTGCCATAATATGGACTTGGTCTTTTACCAAATAGGGCTATCTTCTGTATTCCACCCCTACCTTGTCACAACACAACTGATTGGCTCAAACGCATTAAGAAGGAAAGAAGTTCCACAAATTAACAAGGCACACCTGTTAATTGGAATGCATTCCAGGTGACTAGTCCCGTGTAGCTCAGTTGGTAGAGCATGGCGTTTGCAACGCCAGGGTTGTGGGTTCGATTCCCACGGGGGGCCAGTATGCAAAAAAAAATTATGCACTCACTTACTAAGTCGCTCTGGATAAGAGCGTCTGCTAAATTACTAAAATGTAAAAATGTGACTTCCTCATGAAGCTGGTTGAGAGAATGCCAAGAGTGTGCAAAGCTGTCATCATGGCAGAGTGGCTGTTTTGAAGAATCTCAAATACATTTTGATTTGTTTAACACTTTTTTGGTTACTACATGATTCCATGTGTAAATTCATAGTTTTGATGTCTTCACTATTATTCTACAATGTAGAAAATAGTTTTAAAAAATAAGACCCTGGAATGAGTAGGCGTCTCCAAACTTTTGACTGGTACTGTATGTACAATATTGTGGTGGATCTTTGATGTTATGGGGCTATATTGCTTCCACTGGTCCTGGGGCCCTTGTTAAGGTCAACAGCATCATAAACTTTACCCAGTACCAGAACATTTTAGCCAAAAACCTGGTTGCCTCCGCTAGGAGGCTGACACTTGATCGCAAGTCAATCTTCCAGCAAGACAATAACCCCAAGCACACATCAAAATCCACAAAGAAATTGTATTTTGGCCACAAAGTTAACATTTTGCAATGGCCATCTCAAGTCTCCGGATTTGAAACTAAAAAACCTGTGGTTTGAATTGAAGAGGCAGTCCATAAGCACAGATGAATGATAAAGGATCTTGAAGGATTCTGTATGGAGGATTGGTCTAAGATCCCTCCCAATGTGTTCTCCAACTCGTAAAACATTTTAGAAAAAAATCAAATAAAGATTGGAGCACACAATATAGGCTCAATACAGTCATTTTTGCTCAACTTTATCAAGGGTGTCAATTTCGGACCCCACTGTATATTGTGCATTTATACGTCGCAAGATACCACTCTTGGTATGAAGTGACAATGTGATGCTGTTGGGTCATTACCAGTCTCGTCCAGGCGCATGATGTCATCTCGCAGGTTGGTGCCGCCCGTGGTGGCCATTACTTTCACTCCACCCAGGTGCTTGCTGATCTGGATACTGATCTGGCTCACCTGCAGGGCCAGCTCACGAGTGGGCACCATCACAATGGCTTGGGAGAGAGGAAGAGGTGGATATGGGTAAGTGTAAGAGGTATAGATATGAAAAGTGCAAGTCGATGAGGTTTGACAGATAGGGAGAGAATGTACGAAGAGGGGTACAGTAGGGCTGGGCGGTATACCGTATTTTACGATATACCAGTATTGATGCACGGACCGGTTTGGGTTTTTACTTTACCTTCTATAACGGTATTTGCATGTTTGGTTTGTTAAATGACACGCCGTGTGTAACATCCATTTTTATAGTTTACTTCGCTACTTGAGTCATCCCTCTCCGCGCTCGCTCTCCATGCCGCTTTCCACACAGACTTAGCCCCGCCCCATCACTCAAAGAGCACATTTGTTGTTCCTCGACCACGAGACACTTGCTTTCAGTCTGCAACAATGTTGATGACAACAATGCCGTTTTCACTTTGCTTCTTAATGTAAATCCTTTAGCGTTCTATAATTACACTATTAGTGTGTGTTTATTACATCTGCAAACAGTTAGTATTTTCTTAGCAAGTTGGGCCTAAATCTTATTAGCCGCTAATGTGAAATCGCTAGCTAGCTAATAAATGTACTGAGTCAGAGCAATTGTATTTAGCTATACAGCCTGATAATACCAGTGATGGTGTAGACCTAAATCAGCATGTTGTTTGTGCAACAGTATCTTTTAAATCAAAGAGGAATACATGACGCAAGAATATGTCAGCTACATGAAGTAGCTAAGAGAAAACATTCAATGTACCCAAAGATTATAACATCGCCTAGGAAACACAGACACTTTGGTTCCTACCCTGTCACAATAACTCCCCCCTGGCATTTTCAATCATTGTCACGTCAAACACTGTATTCAAAGTGCCCACTATTATATTCTAACTATGGAATTAGAATAATCCTGCTATTTCCATGATTCCAACAGTTCACACAAGTGTTTTGCTCTTATCACAAGTGAAATCGCAATTGCATCATTCTTTTAAAAATAAGGCCTAGATTGTTTGCCCACATAGTGCAGCCCTACGTGATAGTGTGGAAATTATCTCAAATTAGTGCAGAGATTTTGCGGGGGGAAAATTTTGCAACGCCAGGGTTGTGGGTTCGATTCCCACGGGGGGTATGAAAATAAAAAGACATATATATTTTTTTCAATAAAATAATGTATGCACTAACTGTAAGTCGATCTGGATAAGAGCGTCTGCTAAATGACTAAAATGTAAATGTAATTCAAAACACCGATACGCATAGGCCTATATATTAGCCCAAGCCCGAAAAAAACCTAATTTAAAATAATGATTGCCGTTATACAATACATAGCCTACCGCATATTATGCATTAAAAAATATATACAGATTTAAGATGTCTTTGGTACATAATTGGTCTAGCCTATAATCCAAAATTAAACAAATTCTAGTAATCTCCTTTTGAGTGAGGACTGTATTATTATGCATACTGGATGGACTGGTTAGATATGCTACGCTCTAAACTTTCTATCCATGAGTCTAGGAGAGAATGTATAGGGCTAGGCGATGCTGTTGGTTCATTGATTGTGCAGGGCGGCTTACAGAGTTAGCGTACACTTATAGTGAATTTGTATTTGATTTTGATTAGCCTAGTAATAAGGCATTTTAGGCTGACATTACCTTAACCTACAGAATCTCACCACTGTGCATTTCCATCTCCTCGCTCTCCTTAATTCCTTTCTCGAACGTGCAGAGAGAGGGGCTGTCAACAAATCAAATCAAATCAAATTTTATTGGTCACATGCGCCGAATACAACAGGTGCAGACATTACAGTGAAATGCTTACTTACAACAGTTTAATGAAATATGTTGTTTCGATGTGAAAGCTTGTTACCACCGATGTTCCCAAACAGATATCACTTACTTTCCCAAATTAAGCACTGGGTAGCTGCAGGAACAGGGTTGGAGAGCACACGGCATACAGACTTTGGGTGGAATAATCACCTGTCACGCAGCGAGAGGCTGCATGCTCCTCAAACAGTGGTTGATGCGTGGAATGAAATAACCGGAGTAGCCTACCCGGGAGGATTGAAAAACAAACTGGCGGGAAAGCGGCCTCCATTCGCTATTCGAGTGCATACGGATGACATGTATTTTTTCCCCCCTGACCATTTGATAATGGGCCATCCTAAATCGAAACCAATTTTACATATTAGGAAAGACAAGATTAAATTGAAAATAGTCAGATGGGTGAAAATATAATCACTTCATGGAGAACAGTGTTTGCAGCCTGAGGCAAGGAAGAGCTTTTTTTGGCGACTTTCTCAAATCATCAATAGCATATACAGGGCTAGACATTCATTTTTTTAGCCACTTGTCCTTTGGACAAGTAGGCCTGATTTTTTACTTGTCCGAAAGCTCAAGTCACTGCATTGATAGGCTACTGTATAAAACACATGTGGTCCGTCAACCCTTCATCTGGAGAGCTACTGGGTGTGCAGTCTTTTGATCCAACCCTGCTCAAACACACCTGTCAGCTTATCAAGGTCCTGTTGAGCAACTCATTTTTTACATTGTGGTGTGTTTGAGCAGGGCTGGAGCAAAGGCCTGCACACCCAGTAGCTCTCCTGGAGGATGATTGGTCACCCTGCAACTTTACAACCAAATACTTTATGTCTTTATAAAATAATTCCCTTATTAAATGAACCAGGGATCAAATTGCTAAGGTGGACGAGATGGCTAACTAAGAGGTTTATCTATTTGTAAAGGCTAAAATATTCAGTGTTCACTTGTCAATTAGGCTATATATTTTATAAACTATCACACAAAAATCACTATCAAAGTTGCCAAATAACTCCTGAATGGGAAAAATCCTTTCCATTTTATTCAGCTAAGTTCAATTATATTCTTCTTACTATAAAATCATTTAATATAAAAATGGCACAGGACTTATAAGCATACTGTATCTTGTCTGGTTAATGAACAAGCCTATTGCAGGAATGGGCAACTTTGATTGGGGTGAGGGTCACAAAATAAATGGAACTCATGAGGGGCCGCAGTTGCTCGGGGGTCTGTGTACCCACATCCGTACATAAAGTTAATTTCCTGCAATTTTGCACATTTTCCCATGGGGTGTAGAGAAAATGTTGCCGTTTTAAAGCAAGTTTGTTGCAATTCTACACATTTTTGCCATGGGGCAGAGAGAATACTTTTCATGCAATTCTGTGAAATTGGTCCACAGGCCTACAAAAGGGGGGCCGCAGTTGCCCATCCCTGGCCTATGGCATGGCGCATAGCCAGATAACATACAGTAGGCCAACTCATTCTGTTCTTCTGAAATACATTTTAAATGTAAATGTTCTAAAGGCACGCATCAGCAGCTTGTATGCATGGAGGCCAGGAGATGCTAAACGTGTTTATATTAATTAACAGTCAATTACCGTGAGACCGGTAGTCTTTTACATTACAATAACCGTCTGACAAAATAGTGACCGCCACAGCCCTAGGCACCAGTGCCATCAGAGGAAAATGTTAGTCTGGAGCCCTGAGTAGTAGTAGTAGTAGTAGTAGTAGAGATAAGTATGTATCATGTGAAGCGCCTCGTCTCACCCTGTATATAGTCCTTCTTCAGGTCTATTCTCTCCAGCATAGGGATGAGGTAGGCCCCACTCTTCCCTGTTCCATTCTTGGCTCGGGCCAGGATGTCTCGTCCTGACAGGGCTATGGGAATGCTCTCCTCCTGAAAGTGACAAACTCTGGTTTAACGTAGTTTATCATCACAAACAAAACATGGCTATTATCAAAATGTGTAACATTATCACTATGACAAACTACAAAAGTCCAAAGACTTCAGGTATGCAGAACTAAAAAATGCAGTACAGGATCTTAAGTTCAACAAATTCGTAACATATTGTACGAATTGGATTCAAAACATTTAATACACATTTTTGCAAGACGCAACATATCATATGAAATGGATGACGTAGTACACAATTGGATGACATAGTACACAAAAAACGGGGATCTGTTTTGGCTCTATTGGCTGAAATTATACAAAAGTTCTGGCGCATCACATTAAAGTAGCTATATAGGTTATAGGCATCAGAATCAGGAGCCAATTTACAGCAAGGGAATCCCCCAGTTTCAATGGTGATCTGTGGGCAGAGAAGCTCCCAGTGAGTGTCGTACCTGGACAGGGGAGGGCTTCTCCCAGCCCATCTCAAAGATGCCCATCAGGAGCTCCCGTTTCAGACAGTAGTCCTCAAACTCATTTCCCTTAGTGGACGTTACATCCTGGGACATAGCAAGGAAGGGGTTAGACATCAGAAGTAACAGATTTGATTAAAATTACACTGGGAAAATCCTGAGCTAGTGAAACACAAAGCATGCTGCATTGTACCATAACTTACAGAGGTTCTGACCCTGGTGTCTTTGGGAGGGAGCTGTAGGCTCTTTTTCCAGTCATCTCCAAACCTGATGAAGGGCACCAATGAGAGAAGAGAGCAATTAACCAGTTATATGTAACTAAATGTAATCCCCAAAAGTAATTATTTATCATGAAAGGGCTATAAACAATAACTAGTAATGCAGCATACTCAAAGGTTACAATCTCAACTTTCAGGTAAACCATTTTTATAAATTGCTGAGGTGTAGTCATTTGAGGATTTAAGCTCAAGTACACGGTACAAATATGAAATATTTTATATGATGTATTTCTTATTCAACAAAACTGTATGAATAAGGCTTGAAATGACATGCTTTCTAAATATAGCATAATCAAATTATAAAACTACTAACTATAAGATTTCACCTTCCCTATAACTGTAAAATACATATTTGTATGTTTAGTGGAGAAAATGTGTATATTTTCTAAAGGTCTCTCTTGATCAAAATGTCTGCCCCCATCGCTGTGAACATCTCACAAAGCTCTGATATCGGAATTATCTTAAATGAATGTCTATAGAATCGATCTCTGAATGTGCTACCGTGATGAAACCACTCCCTCCTGCTGCGCTACGATGTAACGATTGCAGGTATATACATCACACATGCTCAGAAAAAAAACAGTGTCCGTAGGAACCAAGGCTATCGCTCAATGCAAGCCATTTTGATCAATGGTATCCACAGATCAATTTATAAGCGAAAATGTTGGTTGGAACCGGTACCAGAACCATGCAGGTCCCCTAAAATGGAGACCTTACATCTAAGAGGGTATTAAGAGAACACCTGCACACACTCACTGCTGATTTCTAAAACAAAATCTACAGGGTTATCACTTCTAAAACATGGTATGAAAGTAAAATATACTATACGAGCAGCACACAATTGTTTTAGTCACTGGGTGAAACAGGGGTGTAAGAGAAATGTGTACCTAATGCCAGTTCCCTCCAGGGCAGCACCTGCTTTCTGGGGTGCACCTATGGCCTTGCCTGAAAGAGAGCCCAGGACGAGGGGTCCTGATTGGGGAGAGGCCGGTTTAGGCGCCCCCCTAAGCTGCCCGTTCTGCTTGTTCAGTCCCATGACAACAGGGCCAAGGTTCTCCATTCTTGCGGATGCCATTTCTTTCCTTTGTTTTTATTCTCAAAGATGTACGTATCCCCCCCCCCCCCCCCCCCCTTAGTTTTTTTCTTTTCTTAAAAAGCCTCTTCGAAAGTAGATGAGTCTAATAAAGCATTAAACACTATTCTCCTTTTTTTTCAAGCTTTTACAACAGAAGTCTATTTGTAGTTTTTACATATACACACACGTACGTGCAGTTCAGTCCCCTTCAGAGTTTACTGACGTATGAAAAAAAATTGTATTTATACAAGAGCTCTTCCAAATGAAGAGCTATGTGCATTCAAATGCATAAATATTTTTATACCTGCCCACAATATAAAAAAGATGTAAACAAGTATCAAGGAGTTTAAGTCCTGCAATAGAACTGCTAAGACGATTTGAACAGAGGGAATAGTATCTGTAATATAATCTTTGTTCAAAAGTTACATCGCTTTATTTAATTAAACAACATTTCCTTGTTTTGCGTCGAGTCCCTTTGAATTGCGCAACATCGATGTCCTTGCAAATGGTTTTTCAAACATTTGTACAAATATTTCTCCAAAATAATATGGTCCTTATTGTTCAATATTTGTTTTCCACTCTGTGTGTAAATGTCCATCCACGTGTAAAAGTAGTTTCCTGATGTTTAAAAATAAAACAAAGGGTAACTGTAGTCCAAAAAGTAAACCAGCTTTAAGTTCCCCTTGGGCTCCTCTGTCTGTCCCCTTTGTTTCAGCTGGGTCTCCCTCCTCTCTCTTTGACACCACAGGTATTCTGTCAAAGTGTGTAGCTTTGTGTGTGAGTGGGGTGGTATTCAGCTCCTTTCCGTTGCAACAACTCAAGCCTGTGTCACCTGACAGGAAGAAGGAACATTTTATTTTATAAGTAGTCAGAATGAATACTATATAGGCCTCGCCCTAGACTTCGCTTTAAAACTTAACAATACAACGTAGAATAGACGCCCACATATTCTGTTCAAGTCCCCAACTACATAATTTGAAAAATGTATTTGGCAGGCACAAGGCTAAAAAAAAATGTATAATGTTGGCTTGGTGGATCAGTCTGTAGTGTATTCCAGTCAACTCGTGTAGGGCATGACCACAGATGACAGAAGAGTTGCCAACACTACAAGCGCATACAGTATGGAACCAGATCATAGACGAGCGCAACGTTAGGCTATAAATGGCAACAATGTGGGACTCATAGCAACTTTATAGCCGTAATCACGTGCAAAGTTTGAAATAACTTTGAGGAAATTAGATAGAAGCATCTGCATTTAAATTAAAGTGAATTACAAATGTATGGACAACTTAATAAACAAGTCATTGGCATAACGTTAGATACGTTAAATTAATAGTTAGATGCGACCTACCTAGCTGGCCAACTAACGTTAGTGGTTATGCTAGCGTACCACTGACATTCAATGCAAGCTAGCTAATTTTCTAGCTAGACAACTGATCGAACAACGGGGGTACCCTTCTAGGCCAAATAAAGGTAGGAAGCCAGTTAATGTTCCCAGTCAGTAGTTAACTACCTTAACATTGTGCTAACTCAAGCGCGATTTGATTTAGTGCTACAAAAAGGAAGAGATTTAGTTAGCCAGTTAACGTTAACTTAGCTATCTAGTTAGCTGAATAACAGTACTGTAAATACTAATTTAGTTAGCTAGCGTTACACCACAGATGAAAGTGGTTATTTTATTTATTTATATATATATGCTAGGGTAACGTTATATTTAATTGCCGTTAGCCAGCTAGCTAGCCAGTTTCGTCAACTTTGATGGCTAGCGGGCTGTCGTTTTCAATGTCTGACAGGCTACTTAGTACATTAGCTAGCTGCCTAGCGAACGTCACTTTAAATCTTTATAGCTAATGCAAATGGTATATAACAGACCGAAACACTCACCTTTCTCTCCCTCTGATGTTATTTATCACAAATGTTTGCGGCAGATCAATTACCTATTTTACCTTAGATTAAATTCACTCAAAATAAAACGTCTCTATTGTGTTTGTTCTTGCTAATTCAACATGGTCGCCTTCTTTTCTTCGTCCTCTCCGATTTAAATCACATGAAGTTCTAGACGGATGCGGCCCTCTACTATTGCAATAGGATACCTGAACAACGTCAGCTTCTTCTTCTTCAGTGGGGTTTATCGGCGGTTGGCATCCAACGTTATGGTGCGTTACCGCCACCTACTGTACTGGAGTGTGGGCCAGGAACAGGGAGAAACTAAATCCAACCTGCCAGCCCCGTTGCTCTTAAAGAAGATAACAAAATATTTGAGACTATTTCTAATGACGTTCTACTCAATATACTCTTTAAACTAATTTCCTGTATCCCCTTCTCCCTCATACTAGATCTCATCCTCTCTCTTTCCCTCTGATACTGCCCACACTGTAGCAATACATGCTCCACTGTCTCTGTTTCCTGACAATAATCACAATTTCCTGTTGGATGCTTTCCTATCACATTTAATGTCTTATTCAACTGGCTGTGTCCCACCCTTAATCTTGTAAAAATAGCCTCCTCTCTTCTGTCCCTTCCTGCCGTCCTCCCCTCCCCGACTTTCCTCTGTACTTGAAATAAATGCCTTCCCTTATTATCTCTATTCCACTGCTCCTGCCATCTCTGCACCATCACTCTATATATCAGTCTTTTTGCCTCTGCCTTGCTCATTAAAACTTCAACATCAACATCCCCACTACTAAGTGCTTGTTTAGCCTGTTCATCTACTGCCTCATTCCCCTCCACCCCCACATGGGCTGGGACCCAAGTAAATCTTATCTGAATACCCATCTGTTTAATCCTGCCATGGGTTTGTAGCACCTCATAAAGCAGGTCTTGTCTGCTACGTGAGACTCATTAACACTACATATGAATCAGAGCAAATAACTACTCTGTCTTGTTTTACTTCCTCCCACCCACTGCAAGGCCAACAGTATGGCCATCAGCTCCGCTGTATATACAGCCAGATGATCTGTAATACGTTTCCTGACTTCCACCCCACATTCCTGCACTACAAATGCTGACCAGTATGTCCTGTCCTTGGATCTTTTTAACCATCTGTTGCACAACGTCATAAAATGATTTTCGGGTAATAAAGGACCACCCATATGTAAAAATGTATGCACACATGACTGTAAGTCGCTTTGGATAAAAGCATCTGCCAAATGGCATATTATTATTATTATTATAAAGGTTCACGTCATTCTGCTTTCAGCGAACTACTTCCTGTTTTTAGCCGTTGGTCATATATTAGTATTGCTAGAAGTATTGTGTATATACACTGAAAAAATATATAAACGCAACATGTAACATGAGCTGAAATAAAATATCCCAGAAATATTCCAGAAGCACAAAAAGCTTATTTCTCTCAGATTTTGTGCACAAATTTGTTTACATCCCTGTTAGTGAGCATTTCTCCTTTGCCAAGATAATCAATCCACCTGACAGGTGTGGAATATCAACAAGTTGATTAAACAGCATGATTATTACACAGGTGCACCTTGTGCTACGGACAATAAAAGGCCACTCTAAAATGTCCAGTTTTGTCACACAACACAATGCCACAGATGTCTCAAGTTTTGAGAGAGCGTGCAATTGGCATGCTGACTGCAGGAATGTCCACCAGAGCTGTGGCCACATCATTGAATGTTAATTTCTCTAACATAAGCTGCCTGCACTGGAACAAACATGCACACGGGGAAAATACCCCGGCAATACAAAATACTGAGATGGGATCCGCTTCTTTTTAATAGAGGCCCTCAAAACTCTGTTTTCTCACGCAATTGCTTAGCCTATTGAAATGTTGCACAACATGAGCTCATGGGCTCTCATTAAGTGTTTCATTTGATTTTCGATGACATTTGCATTGATGTCAGAGTGATTAGAGGGACAATAGAGTGCTGAGTACCAGGCAGTTAGCAAGTTTGGTAGGCTACTATTGACCATCAGCAGCATCAGAGCTTGGAGAAGCCTAGTTACCATGACTGAACGGTCACGTGGAATTTGACTGCGGTCATGACTCGTGAGTGTGGCGGTAATATGGTCACCGTAACATCCCTATGCATAACAAAATAAATTCTGCACAAACTGTCTGAAACAGTCTCAAGGAATCTCATCTGTGTGCTCGTCGTCCCTCCAGGGTCTTGACCTGACTGCAGATCGGCATCGTAACACACTTCAGTGGGCAAATGCTCACCTTCGATGGCCACTGGCATGCTGGAGAAGTGTGCTCATCACGGATGAATCCCAGTTTCAACTGTACCGGACAGATGGCAGGCAGCGTGTATGGCGTTGTGTGGGTGAGTGGTTTGCTGATGTCAGCGTTGTGAACAGAGTGCCCCATGGTGGCGGTGTGGTTTTGGTATGGGCAGGCATAAGCTACGGACAACGAACACAATTGCATTTTATCAATGGCAATTTGAATGCACAGGGATACCTTGACAAGATCCTGAGGCCCATTGTCGTGCCATTCATCCGACGCCATCACCTCATGTTTCAGCATGATAAATCACAGCCCCATGCCGCAAGTCTCTGTACACAATTCCTGGAAGATGAAAATGTCCCAGTTCATCCATGGCCTGCATACTCACCAGACATGTCACCCATTGAGCCTGTTTGAGATGCTCTGGATCGATATGTATGACAGCGTGTTCCAGTTCATGCCAATATCCAGCAACTTCGCACAGCCATTGAAGAAGAGTGGGACAACATTCCACAGGTCACAATCAATAGCCTGATTAACTCTATGCGAAGGTGTCACGGATTCAGCCAAGGCTGCTCCTCCTCCTTGCTCGGGCAGGCTTCGGCGTTCGTCGTCCCCGGAGTACTAGTTGCTGCCATTCTATGTTTCGGTGTTTGTCTTGTTTGGTATTTATTGTTTACACCTGTTTCCAATGATGTTGTATTGTGTTCCCTTTATAACCCTCTGTCTCTCATTGTGTATTGTGCGTAATTGTTTCTCGTATTTTCTGCAGTTGCCTATGTGTGCGGGTTATTTTGTTCCTCTCAGTAAGGAG